AGATACATAAACAACCATGGCAAATAGAAGTTAAACGACTGAAATACACATCCGGCTCACATGTTGAATTGAGTCACACAACAAAAAAAATAGTCAAGTCACTTTTATTATATAGTGCTTTTTATAACAGATCGTTTCAAAGCAGCTTCACAGTAATAAACAGGAAAATAAGAATCAATGATGCAGGCTTCTTCAAATATGAGAGAAATTCAGCTGTATAGCAGCTATAAAAAAGACATTGTTTAATTAATTATTTAGTGTAAAATGCATGAATTATGAAAGGAGTTCATAGACACAGCTTTATCTCATGAGAATAATTGATTTGAGGGATCTTTTTGGGAGACTGGGGCAAGTTGTCACACTTTTTACTACAGTGAATATTTCTAAAGGCTGATTTACAGTATATATAAAGACAAAAAGTCTTGAATACAAAAATAAATAAATAAAATCCACATTTATACAGATGCAGATTTGTGACAATATATGTCAGTGGAAATCTGCTATTTATTTTTACACTGATTTGAAAATCATTGCACAACATATCTGTTTATAAAATGTAATCAAAGTACACACACACACATATATAGCCTAGTCAACTCTTTCCTTAATGTATGCAAGTTTCACTTATTGACTAAATAACTATTAGCCTACAGAACTTTAATATACCTCTATTATAGTCAACTCTTTCTTTAAAGCATGCTTTTTTCGCTTCCTAACCCAACAACACGACAAAACTCGATGATATTCTATTTTTTGTTTGTTTTAAACTTTACTTCATAAACATGATCATAATTTGGCTCTTTATTTACACTAGGTTTATAAAGTAAATTAAACCACTGCTATTGAAAATAAGCACTTAATTGCAGACCTTGCGAAAACGTACCCATGTGACAACTAGCCCCGGTTATAAGAGAGGTTAATATAACATAAAAGACAACATATTTAGTATGCATAATTATGAGTCAGCTTAATTCTATTCGATTAAAACATGATTATAAAGAAGTGATTTTTTCAGCAGGTTCATGCAGCAGGTCGGATCCATAATTAACCTGCAGTGATCCTGACTTAATTACTGTCACCTGATGAGCAATTAACTTCCTCTTTTAACGTTCACAGGGCGTAAACTCACTCTTTCATTTCTTTTGCTGTCCTAGAAACAGCCCTGAGATTTATTTCTGGTGAGAATATATAACGAATTTCTGAATAATTCACATTACATACTGCGCATTAAATTGTCTAATAAACATTTACTGTATGTGCCTTTCAGTTTTTGTTTCAAAATGAGCAAAACCGAGAAACCATTATCCACTCTTTGGGGTAAGATGTTACACTTTTCGTGTCTTCAGGTAAAATATAATTCAAAACGTACTAATATTCTATATTAAATCGTTCGTTGTTTCAGGTTGTGAACTCAATGAATCTAATAAAGAAGAGTCCTTCAAGACGGATGATACGAACCATCAACACCAGCTGGCACTGAGAACGGTTGGTTCAGTGATTGTCGAGGTAACGCGACGTTTAATCGGTGTTTATTACATTTAACCCATTAATATTTGATTTGAAGATGTGTCTGGGTCACACCGCTAAAGATGAGTTCAATATTGTGGAGTTGGTCACCGGTGAGGGCAACAGCAGCGCGAAAGCGGTTCCCATAGCAACACTACATGCTAAATCTATGCCTACGGTAAGAAATATTCGTTTTTGTGATATTTCTGTGCAAACGTTAGCTCGCTAAAATACCCACAATGCCCCTCTAAGTAGCATTTTCGCTAATAGTGGATTTTTTTTTTGTTTTCACCCTGATTATGTTTCAATTGAACCCTCTGGTGCTTTTTTTTTTTAACTTTTTTTTTTTAATTTAGACTTTAGGTAAAATGGTCGTGTGTGTGGTCAAATGACAGCTTTGGAGAGTAATGGGAAGCAAAACCTTACTGAAAGCTCACTTATTTTTGTGATATCAACCTCAAATTTGGAACACAGTTGCTTAGATTTATCTGATTTGTCACGCCGTTTTAGATTGGGCTAAAACATGTTTTGAAAAATATATAGTTTCCATAAAACAGTATTTTTGTGCACTTTTCATAAAGATTTATTTTGTTTGTTTGTTGCCGTTTAATAATAATTCAGTTCAGCAATGTCAAGATTTTCATCCCTTTAAGTTGGAAACCTAATTTTCAGATCTATGCTCAAAAAGCAGTTAACGGGTAATAAATAGATCATAACTATTCCATAAATGGCACAATAAAATTAAACTTTATTGAACTAAAATATAGTACGTTCATTTAATTCAAATAATAAAAAAAATCTGTAATTTGATGACCATGCAAGCAGCACCAGAGGGTTGAAAAATGTTGTGAAACTATATTTTTATGGAGTCTTCTATAATTTACTTTGAATAGAGCTACAGTAATCACATTTCACGTCCACAAGTCTGTGTATATACCTCATGAGATTTCATTCTCCATCAGGTTAACCTGTCTGGATTGGATCTTCATCCACCCGTGACCTTTCGCCTGAAGCACGGCTCTGGGCCTGTGTATGTCGGAGCGGAACATGTGGCCTGTGAGTGGTCCTTTCAGCTCTATTTTTAGCTACTATCTGTGGTTGGTATTTAAGTCAATGGGACTTGTGCCAAAATCTCTCCCAGTGGAGGAGTACTCCGATGATGAAGAGCTGGATGAAGAGATGGATGAGGAGGTAGAAGAAGAGGAGGAAGATATTGAAGTATCACCGGTTAAGAAAGTCACAAAAAATGGTGCTGGCAAAGTAAGGCTTCGTCTCATAGGTCACAAGTTGTTTCAATTAAATTTGTTCTAATTCTCACTGCTCCATTCTATCTTCAAAGAGAAAGAAGCCAGAAAAGGGAGAGGATGAGTAAGTTAAATCTAACATTTAATTTTGTTTGTCCTTCATTAGTTTCTCAAAGCAAACTAATCAAGTGTTTTGTAAAAGCAGGGAAGCCTCAGATGGTGACAATCCACCTAAAAAGGTAGCTTTTTATTCTTGATTTATTTATTTTTTTTCTAAAGCTATGCAAAAATGAATAACATTGTTTCTTTCAGGGTAAAGGAAGGGGACGGAAGGCAAAGGTGTGACCAGGCAAGGACCTGTAGATGACGTACAAATTTGATCATGTAGAGACTCGAGCATTGATCATGTTCTCTTATTGCAGATGTGGATGGGAAGCGGCACGTTCCCAGAAGGCCGCTGCTGGACATTTGAGTTGGGAGCTCAAATTTCTCACCATGGTCCCATTGTAGTTATGCTTCGTCAATAAAACCGTTAGAGGGGAAAGCGAACTGGTCTCATTTTCTCAAAGCATTTTGTCTGTGGAAGAAAGTATGACTGCGTTGGCACAAAAGTATCTGCAGGTGTTGTCTTAATGCGACAGAAGCACCAATTTAAATCCGAGGCACTGCATTATAGAGTCATTCTATAATTAGGGGTACATGTCATATCCATGGACTCTATCAATTTTACTAATTTTTCAATAACTTTTTCACTTCAAACAATGATCACTTTTATATCGGGACATTTCTAATTAATTTAATACAAAAATCCAACAGATATCCATCTTTCGTCTTGCAAAAATGGCATTCTATACTGGAATTTGCTGTTTTTGTGCGGTCCGATTTGGTAACTGAGGTCTTGCTCTTCAGATTAGCTCTAAAATGTTTCTGTATATATTTCTTATAAATATTTGTCAAATAATCATTACATTACGAGAAGGGTATTTAAAAAAATATTTTGCACCTCTACATTAAATCCATTTTGTGTATGTCTGAGAAATCGGTGTCAACTGTTACTCCCTATAAAACCCCCTATAAATCAGCGATGGTTTGTTCCAAAGACACAATTTTCAACATCACGTGCTGTATTTAACCTTTTTTGGAGGGAAATTTGAAGACAGTGTGGCAAGTCATAACTTCTCCTCTTCAATATTTTATCTAGATTATTGTCTGCGCATAGAGTAGATTAATTGACCGTCAACTGTGTTATCAACATGTTCTGGTGAGCCTGCGTCACGTTATATTTATAAATATGTAGAGAACGAATATAAAAACAAAAGTTAATCAAGGTCATGTACTAACTATTCCAAGGTCAGCAGTTTGCACAAGGCCCTAAAATGGCCGAAATGTCAACTCTGTTACCCATCAGCTGTAACACAGTTGACAATTCAGTGTCAATTTATGCTCCCACTGAGTGTTGATAAAAATAAATATTCACATAGGGGAGTCATTACACAGAAATTACATAGGAATTGCCTAAAACAATGGATAAACTTAACTGATCTAATCACGGCCACACTTTCTATGAACTCCATATCCATAATAACATATACTCATTATGTTCACATTTGTCAAGGGTTAAAAAGCATTCAGAATTCCTCATGATTGACATACACCTATATAATATAGATCTGGCATATATCTATGTCTGCTTAATCATGACTGATAAAGTGTTATGATGTTATTGTATAAGTCCTTACAACTTGAAGTGTCAAATATAATATATTCATTAACGTTATAATATATATTATAATGTGAGTGCGTTTAAAATGCTTTATGGATACTAAGTTCATTCTTGTCAACTGTGTTACTTTGTCAACTGTGTTATGTGTGGTTTTTATGTTATAAATCTTCTAAATGTGAACCAATCCGTCAGAAAAAAAGATGGGGATATCTCTGGAGATGGATGACTTTGGTAAGGATGGTGAATAACACTAAATTCAGCATACTGTGTTCATTTGACACAACATTTGTCCATAACACAGTTGACAAAATAATGAATCAAATGTTAATTTCCATTAACATATTTAAAAAGTCATTAGACCTTAAGCTTGCCAAACAATTAATTTAGCACATTAAGGGGATATATTATTCAACCACCTAATTTATTTATCAAAAAAGAATACTGATTTTCTGACTTTTTGGCTGACATGAAATGTACCCCTAAATATGAATGACTAGTGATTTACCAGAGGTAAAGGTTAAGAAAAATCTTACTGTGGTAAAATCACTGTAATGTGCTGCTTTCAGTGAGTAGATCTATCATGTATTGAGCCTTAACTTTAAAGTTAAGCTCAATTTACAGCACTTGTGGCATATTGGTAATGACCACATTGAATGACTTTACAGTTTTAGCAGAACTGAAAAGCTTTTAAAAAGTTTCACATTTCTGATTTTTATAACCTCCAAAACTGGCCTCTTTAACTTCCATTTTCAGTGCCTCATTGTAACTTTAAGGAGAGCCAGTCAAAATTATTCTTTGCGATATCCACCATTTATGCCACAAATGCTGCAATTTAGTATAACTGAAACTGGAATATTCCTTTAGCCTGTTTATGCTTACCAAGCACATTAAATTACAAAGCATTTGGACACTGTTTAGCAGCTTCAAATTCTGCTCTGGCAATTAAGTACAAACTATTTTCTTTACTCCATTCCTAGGCAAATAAGTCTAGGTTAATGATTGGATTGCAGAAACCAGGTCTGTCTCAATTATTATGGAGAGCCTGTGCTTTGTACGCACAATCACTGCTTTGTAAAACGGCTCTATTTCAGTTGTTTTCCTCTGTGAATGTAATGCTGTTCCTCTCCTTTGAAAGGTCGAAGCAAATACCAATGATTCTGCTCGACGTTTTTATTTACATCTGTTGGAGTTCAACTAATTTGCACTGACTGCTGAGAGGGAAAGCGAGCTTTCACTGGTCAAGATTAATTTCCCTTACCTGAAGCACCCGCAGGGATCAGCACGGCTCGAATAAAGGGCATGTTTACAGTGAGAATTTTAGGAATTTCATGCGTTCACTTTAACATCTTTGTGTACAAACAGTGCTCAAAATAAATCCTAAGTGTATTTGTGCTTCCAGTTAAATGAGCCTCAATGCATTCTGGACTGAGTCAATTCTCCATGTCTTCATCAATCCTGTCAGGGGAAAGAAAAAAAGAGAGTGACTAAATGATTCACATCCTTTCACAATTCAATTTAGTTTCATGTTGCTCATTTTTCTTTTTCTTTTGTCATTTAAAGGGATCATACACACACACACACACACACACACACACAAAAAAGCCAAAACAGTTTTCGTGACCATTTTCCATACAGTTTTTTTTTTGCTTTGCAGCTGTGCCTTTAATACATGTAAACATTCACTTTGCATACACTCTCAGAATAAAAAGTACAAAAGCTGTCACTGTGGGGGGTACCATTTCAAAAGGTACACCTTTGTACCTAAAGAGTGCATATTGGTTCCTTAAAGGTACTTCTGCTTCTCGCAGTAAGGAAAAGACACTGTAGGTAATATCCTCCAATAATTATTCTATAAGAACTGTTAAACAACAGAAAATGCAACTTCCTTCTAAACACCAAACTGACGTTTGTGATGTGCAATGTATGGGTGATCAAATTATGTTTCTGACAATACAAATCCACGGATTTCAGAATATCCCTGGATTTGGACTGGGAAGAAGTTTCGAGTTCTCAAAGTTATAGTATGTTTCAGTAGAAACTCAAAAGATCAAGGAAAATTAGCTTCCTCATGATATGACCCCCTTAAATGTAAAGCAGGCCAGTGCAGTTTTAAGCTTAACCTCGTTGAGTCTTCTAGTCGACTTCTGCTTTTTTGAGGTACTTCTTCATCACCGAGTTGACGTCCTCGCTGCCCTCGGCTTCCAGCCTCTCTCCTTGAGGCCCACGGCGCTTCTGAGATCCGCCAGAACTTGAAGAGTCCGAGTCGGACTCCCTACGTGGCGCTCTGGAGGGCGGCAACTCCCCAAAGTGCACACTGAGGGCTCGTCTCTGGCCCGTTCGGGAACTGCTAGATGCCAGGCTGCTGGTGGACTGCGCTCGACGGATGGCTGGGAGAATGTCTGAGCTGGTGTCCCCTGCATCGACTCCGGCCCTCTCCTTGTCTTGATTCCCGAGGAGTCTGCGATTCTGGAATACAAGTGGTTCCGATCCCAATTGCGACTGTTCTGTTTCTGCTACCAGGCCACCAAGTAGACGGCGTCGGATTGGTTGATAGGTGCCAAGAGGAGGCATGGCTTTCGAGCTGGGCTCCTCCTCGCCTTCCTCAGGGATGGCCAGGTTGGACAAGTGGCGGCGGGAACTTGCGGTGGAGGTCATGGATGCGAGGGAGTCGCAGGAGCTGAAGCGGTTCATCTTTCCTGTGGTGGTTGTGGTGGTGGAGGACATTGGGCCTGACTCGGATAGGGAGCGGAGGCTGGAGGCACGTGGCAGGTGCGGACTGGGAGGTTTCAGTATGCCAGGTCGAGGCAGGTCCTCCAGACCCTCCTCTGCTTCTAGAGACAGCGCTGAGGACCTGCGGCGTAGCGTGGAGGCCCCTGTTGTCTGATAGATGGGAAGGGACACTGTGCTCCCCTCGCCCGCCTCCGAGCCTCTTTCCCACCCAGCGCGCTTCTTCCTCAGACCCTCCAGGAGCTCAGATAGGGCCGTGGATGACGACGCTCTGCCAAGACCACTGGAACTTTCTTTGACGTCTTCGTCAAGGTCTTGAGTGCAAGATCTGTCATATGGAATAAATGACAGACAGTAACAGTGAATATAAATTAAAGGATGGTTATTAAATCATCATTTACCCACCCTTATGTCGTTCCAAACCCATATGGTTAGGTTAGGTTATGGTTATGGGTTTCTTGCTCCCATGGAGCACAAAAGGAGACATTTTCAAGTATCTGACAAGACATGACTAATCATCATCAATGTCAATCCTCACTAGGGTTGCAAAGGGCTGGAAAATTTCCAGTGTATTTCCAGAAACTTTCAAAAAAATTCCTGGGCTGGAAGATTCAAAAAAATCCTGGAAAGTTTCCAAAATTTCTGGAATGTTTCCGAAATGTACTGGACATTTCCACCTTTTTGCAACTCTAATCCTCACATAGGATTTCACATACATTTATATAAGCGCTATATAAATGTAATGAATTATTATAGTCTCAGCCTTAGATGTCATGGTCACACTTCGTTTGTTAAGTGTCTGATGCATAAGGCACAATAAAATGGAAACATTTTTGCGACTTTTCGAGATTCTGCAGTCTTTTAACATCCACCAGTAAATAAAGCCATGTTTATGAAGACTGTGGCATATAAGCATAATAAGCAACATAAGCAACTACTGTAGATACCAAATTTCAAAAGTTTGTGTAATCCAATGTTTAGTTGCTTGTTTCTAATGCAGATTGTGGGTTACACTTTATTTCGATAGTCCACTTTAGACATTCTACTAACTACAAGTAACTTTGCAACTAAATGTCAACTAACTCTCATTAGACTATTAGTAGATGGTTATGAATGCATGTTGGGTGACCATTAAGTATTAGCAGTATTAGCAGATATTAACGTAATTGCAAAGTTACTTATAATTAGTAGAATGTCTAAAGTGGACTATCAAAATAGTGTGTTACCACAGATTGTTGCGTCATTATTTGCTTTAACATTTACGCCGATCCTGATCGAATCACATATGGTTGCACGCAGATCTGTTATCATAACGACACTAACCCACCCCCAAACATAACAACACGAGTCTACTTCATATGTACACCTCAGGTAGTTCCATAGACCACAATGCAACACGATTATGACGCCATCGAGTTTAATTTATCCTCACCCCAAACAACTGTATGATATATAAATGTTTTTTTTAAACATTTAAAACAGCCCAAGCATACCTATATACATATAGAATGTTGCATCAAACAAATTCGTAAGGGAAAAAATGTAAATAATAAATCAACTCCATAGCAGATTCCAAGTGATCAAAGGCTTAGGACGTTCCAATTCAGCCCATTGCAAAGGCTTCACCAGTAGTGGACACTTGTGCAGCATAATCAATGACATACATACAATGAGACAGAGGGAAATGAGTGAAGGGTATAAAAAAATAACTGGAATACAGCCATAGAGTCCAGACCTTATGCTTAATCTCCATTTGTGATTCACAAAAGTCAGTCAGTTATACAGGATTAGAGCCATGCTTGCTAAAAATTACTACTTGCCTAATCTGGCCTGGTGGTGTTACCTTGTTTATTGATGCACACTCATGCTTATTGATTATCAGTCTTCTTTTGCTATGTTACCTGAAACTGTAGGTGCTCATGGTGTCGGTAACAGACTGGCGGCCGGAGCTGCTTCCTGCGTAAGGAGAAGTTCTGCCTCCTCGTCCTCCTCGCGGTACACCTGCCCACTGACGGATCCCTTCGCCGACGTCTTCAGTACCCACACTGGATCCGACGCTGGACATGGTGTCGCTGAAATTCAAACCCCATGTTAGTGTGAAAATCATGCTTTCATTGGAAAGATTAACAGCTGTGCAACATGCTTTCACAGCGCAAGCGGTCAATTGTAGCAATGGAATTGAACCACCATTTTGGGTTCCCCAAAAAAACTCTCAGAGATAATTTCTTAAAAGAACCATTTTGTTTCTTAGTGTTAAGAATATTTTAACAATTTGAAGAACTTTTTTTTCCATTATAAAGAACCTCTTGTGCAATTGAAAGGTTTCATGGACTTAAAAGGATCTACATGGATGGTTCCCAACAAAGCACATTTATTTTTAAGAGCATAGCCATGAATTCTCATAAGTGATTGATTTGGAATGCTCTGCATTGGCATATATTTGCATCTGCGTTTATGTATTTGGCAGACACTTTTATTTAAGTGATTTACATTGGATTCAAGGTATAAGTATATGAATTCCTTGGGAATCGAACCCATGACCTTGGCATTGCTTCCACCATGCTCTACTGTCTGAAATACACAGAACTATGAGCTTTTGGTGCTATGAAATAAGTTGTGCTACTACACACAACTGATTAGTACAATTAGTTTTGCATCATCATGTTGCTAAATGATGCAAGAGCTACTCTACCAAGCATAAAATGTGCATTCACACAAATATTGGCTAAAATTGCATTTTTTATTAGATTATTTCAGTACTGCATTAAGTATATACAGTGGAGATCAAAATTAGAGAACAACCTATAATTTCAAGGTCACTGTTTAGCCCTATTTAAAGTGAACCTAACAGGAGTAGAAGGGCAGTTTTTAAGCATATTTGATAAATTAATTGTATTCTGAAGCACAGTATACAAAACTTGAATGAGATATTTAAAATAGAACTCTGATCAAAATTAGAGAACACTTACAGATACCTCCAAGTTATTGGCGTTAATCTGGCACCTGATACTAATTTCCTTAATTATATGACAAACCCTATTTAACTGCCAGCATTTCTCCACTTTCCACTGAGATCGCAAGATGACTAAAACCCTGCGACAGGAGGATGACCCTTTCAGCCATTGTAATTTAATCATAAGTTAGTCATTCCAAATATGTGATTTCTCGGTTTACAATGACACTAATTCATTCAAGTTCTCCAAAAAAGGCCGGTTGACTATGTAAGACAAATGCATGAGAAGACAGGATAAGACAGAGACGCTCAATGGGGAATCGGTTCAACACTGCAGCTGGAATTGCTTGCCAGTTTTGTCAAACATGTTAGTGGTACAGTGGTATACAGATAATATTCCTTCAAATTTTGAGTGATGAAGATTAACAATATTTCAGAAAAAATTAAGTATTTATAGATGGTTCTCTAATTTTGATCTCCACCATGTAGCATTCTGCTTAAATTGCTTATTGCATTGCATTTTAGGATTGAATTATTCATGGATTCATTGCTCAAAACAAATTATAGTACCTATCTTTTAGAAATGGTTTATTGTTGTATGTATGCCTATGATGACTTAAAATGCTGTGCAGATCACTAGGTTTTGGAACAGAGCCATTGCGTCAAAACCTATTCTAGCTTCCAGAAGCTCTTATTCAAACATACAAGAGTAAGGTAACAAAAATGTTAATTTGCTTGCATATGCCGTGGGTTCTCTCCTACCCTGCTCTTGTAATTGGACTCACTAAATTCGTACAGAGATTTAAGACCCAAAGCTCTGAGCAACTGCAACAGTTCATTTTATCCCCTTTTTTGCTCGCACAGACAACTGAAAGAGACGAGACGCGGGGGGTCTCGGCTAACGCGCATGCATTATTCAGAAGACAAAGCATATCACAGCTGGTGAACTTTTAAAAAGGACTCTCTCGCACAGAGGAAAGCTTCTTGCATTTAACAAAGCAAAGTGGCAGTGTGGGTATGTTGCGGTTTGCGTCTGACGAGTAGGTGTCTGTTCACATCCGTCCAGCGGAGACTCTCGTCTATCTTCATTCAGACGTGTGAAAGGAAGTCGTGACCTTACACAAGTCCACACACACTTACAGCACTGAGCAACAGGCTAAGCAGGCAACATCAACAGCCAAATGCAGCGCTGGCCCATCCATCAACATTTGCTTGATGGCAAATTTTTAGACCAACGAGAGAAGGATGGTTATGCGTTAGACTCCGCCAACACCATTAAGCCACGGTTCACAAAGAGACGCCGTGCATTTATATGCAAAAAAGAAACCGCACTGCATAAAGCAGTGCATTTCTTCATTTCACAGCAGACATTAATGTATGTTATGCAACTAGAGCTGGACAATATAGGGAATACATTTGCAATAATATATCTGAAGAAATATAAAAAAATAAAAAAAAAACTCTTGTAGGAAACGTCACTATATGATTCACTGAAGAAGGCTTGCTGCCGAAACATCTGATTGTTGTTTGCTCTGTTACTAGGTGAAAAAAAAAAAGTCATTTAAAATTTTAAAATATTTATTAAATTTATTTATTGAATGAATATATATATATATATATATATAAACAATAATTAGAATGTTTGACTAAAAATTTGATATCTATGAAAGCCTAAAAAATGATTTTTTTTTCTACATCGTCCAGTCCAATATGCAGCCACTGACCTACTTTGAAGCCTGCATTCCTCCGATTGCTCATTCCCAAATGCAGAACATAGTAAATGAACACAGATACATGGGAGAGAACAACAACAGGATGGGGGATGGAGTGCTTACAGATCTTTCCTTCTAGAGAAGGACTCCACAGCCGTCTGCACACTGTGTGAAGAAGGAGACGCAGTCAGAGACACACAGGAGTGGAGCGGATAACTAAAGTGGTTGGAGGTACGAGCAAAGCAAGCATATCGAATTTTCAGTGAAGTCTAAGCAGTCTGGTGGAGAAGATCAAAGTCTTGAACGCTGATACATTGGACTGCATTTTACTATGGGTGTCGAGGGAGGAAGGCATTATTGAAGCGCTTATAGTAGCAAAGTGTAGCCTTGATTTTGCACAGTTAGAAAAATCTCTTCACATTTCAGCTCAACTGAAAAAGAATGAAAGCAATTACAAAGTAACAGCAAGAAGTAAAACTTCAAACCCAAAGGGAAGAAAACAATATATCTACTGTTTCCTCTGTTTGGTTTTGAAGTTTTACATCTTGATGTTATTTTTAGAACATCAAGAAGTCAATAAAAACTTACGTTACTTCTAAAAACTATGCATATACATACTGTATATGCTGTACATATGGAGTTGAGTTTGCTGAAAAATAAATAACATTAAATAAAATTAAATACATATAAAATAAGCAAACCTAAAACAAAAAATGTCAAAAACAAACAAAAAAAACCTAAATAAAATAAAATAAAAAAACAAGATAAAATAAAGCAATTCCAACAAAATAATAAATTGTAAAGTTAGATTAGCTGAAAAACAAAATGAAAACAAAAACAAACAAAAAACCCTGAATTAAAGTTAATAAAATAGAATAGAATAAAAAAATATTAAATAAAAAAACAAGATAAAATAAAGCAACCTTAATTAAATAAAATGTTCCTGAAAAAAACAAAAAACAAAAACAAAATGCAACCCCCACCCAAAACAAAACAAAAAAAAACAAAAAAAAAAATGCATGATGATGCTTCAAAATTATTTGGAACGAACCAATCACAATCTTGAATACTATTTAGTTTGTATAGTATACAAACTGGTTTGCAGACAATTTCCCCTTGCTATGCGAGACACTGTAACAGAAACAAAAAAGGAAATGGAAAAGGTCAGGCGCACGTCACTAGTGATACCTTTCTGTATCACTTTCATCGCTGGACTCCACCTCCTCCAGCGCGGCTTGTAGATCAACGATTCGCCGGATTGATGTCTCTAGATCAGCTTGCAGGGTCTGTCTTACTGCGCTAAGCTCTTCCACTTGCATTTCCTGGAAACAGATAAGACAAGATAAAATCAGATAACCCGCAACAGTCACGCTGGATCTCCAGGGGAAATAAAGACCCTGCATCAGGACAGGAGAAGTGTTTAATCTCAAAATGTGCCCAATTAATTAACTGCTTGCTAAGGCCAGCATCGTTATTAAACCACTCACATAATCACATAATTTTATATCAGAAAACCTAAAAATCTACCTAATTATATAAAGGCTAAGATGTTATGGAAATGAAGCATTCGGAGTTGTTTTTATCCTTTTAACTTTAAAGGGATAGTTCACTCAAAAATGAAAATTCTGTCATTAATTACTCCTCTTCATGTCATTCCAAACCCGTAAGACCTTCGTTCATCTTCGGAACACAATTTAAGATATTCTTGATGGAATCTGAGAGCTGTCTGACCCTCCATAGACAGCAACGCAACTGAAATGTTTCCAAGTCCAGAAACGTAGCAAGGAGATCTGTAAAATAATCCATGTGACATCAGTGGTTCATCCGCAATTATACGAAGCTATGAGAATACTTTCTGTGCGCAAAAGAATAAAAAATAACAACTTTATTCAACAATTAGTCTCCTCCGCATCACCCTGGTGCCATTTTGGAGAATATCCGCTGGACGTAAACAGCGTATGCTATTCAGTGTCAGCTGCGTCACACGGATACGCTGTTTCCGTTCAGATAAAATCACAACAACATAGGAAACCGATCCGGCGTGACGCAGCTGACACAGAACAGCATACGTTGTTTACGTCCAGCGGATATTCTCCAAAATGGCACCAGGGTGATGCAGAGGAGACGAATTGTTGAATAAAGTCGTTATTTTTAATTTTTGTAGTATTCTCGTAGCTTCGTATAATTGCGGTTGAACCCCTGATGTCACATGGATCATTTTACAGATCTCCTTGCTACATTTCTGGACTTGGGAACGTTTCAGTTGCGTTGGCGTCTATGCAGGGACAGACAGCTCTTAGATTCCATCAAGAATATCTTAAATTGTGTTCCTTCACATTCAGTAATTAATGACAGAATTTTCATTTTTGGGTGAACTATCCCTTTAATAGAATACAGTACACTGATGAAACTAATGTCTAGAACATGTTTCATTCATCCTAACAATTTCTAACATAAAGAAATGATTTTATATATATAAATGCTTTGTATTGTTTTTTGGCAAGCCTTTCTCTTTAACTTCTGAAGTGCTTGTTTGCTAAAGGACAATCCTGTGTTATTGATCGCCAGCTCTTGTTTATAGAATAATTTGATAATGAGCGCTGGAGAGCCAGCGGTGTGACTGATTACACGATTCATTTTCCTCTTCCCTTCTTTGTACGTCCCCAGTCTCTTGCTCTCCTGGACGAGCCGCCACTGTCTGTCTATGATTAATTCCCATTGTCTCCTCAAGGTTATTGATACAACAAATCCCATTCCGCTCCTCTCATCTCCATGACAACCACACCTTCGCTGTTGCCCCCTCCCTTTCATAACCAATAACCTGGTGAGCTTCAGCATGTGTGTTTGCGCGTGTGTCTTCGTATCGGGAAGAAATGCATCCCAGACTTCAGTCTTTGTGTATGCGCCAGGCATCGCTAACACTGTTTTTTTAAAGAAATGAATACTTTAATTCAGCAAAGATGCATTAAATTAATCAAAATTGATAAATTATTATTATTCAAATCTATTCATCAAAGAAATTTTTAAAAATGTATCATGGTTTTCAAAAAAAGCATCACAACTGTTTTCAAGCATTGCTAAAATTAAATGTTTCTTGAACAGTAAATCAGCATATTAGAATGATTTCTGAAGGATCATGTGACACTGAAGACTGGAGTAATGATGCTGAAAATTCAGCTTTGCATCACAGGAATAAAATACATTTTATGATATTAAAACCGAAAACAGTTGTTTTAAATTGTAATAATATTTCAGTTTTATTGTTTTTATTGTATTTTTTTTTTTATTAAATAAATGCAGTCTTGGTGAACAGAAGAGACTTCACGATTCATTTTCCTCTTCCCTTCTTTGTACGTCCCCAGTCTCTTGCTCTCCTGGACGAGCCGCCACTGTCTGTCTATGATTAATTCCCATTGTCTCCTCAAGGTTATTGATACAACAAATCCCATTCCGCTCCTCTCATCTCCATGACAACCACACCTTCGCTGTTGCCCCCTCCCTTTCATAACCAATAACCTGGTGAGCTTCAGCATGTGTGTTTGCGCATCGGGAAGAAACACATCCCAGACTCCAGTTTTTGTGTATGCGCCAGGCATCGCTAACACTGTAGCTAATATTCATAATACTGAATGCCTTTGACTCTCAGGACGCAGGTCAAATTGCATTACACACCGGCAGGTGCTGTAATGACGCAGGGCCACCTCCTTTGTGTTAAATTATAAATATTTACAGGTTTTTCAGGAGAGATCGGTGTATTCTCATGGGTAATAACATGTCAGGCTTGTGGGCGGCCACTAAGGGGAAAATGCACCGAGCGACTACATATGAATACATTAGTTATGAGGACAGTCGTTCAATGTGCCGAGGAGTTTCACAAAAGCAGTTCAATTTTAACGTGCATTCTTAAGATAAATTCAAGGATCAAAAAACGAATGCACCCTTTTTAATCTCAATATATTACAGAAATTAAATGAATCCACACCTGTATTTGATATTCTTAAGGATACACAATATATCAGAACCATACGAGTGAGTAATAAAAAAAAAAAA